ATAATCGGGAGCGCTCGTGTTTTAGATAAGAAAATCCTCTATCAAATCCTTCAATCACGAGAGTAATCTGTTAAATCATTCGTCTTTAGATGAAGATCTTAGTCTGTTGAATCACTTCTTCTCGTTTCTGTAGAAATTTCACACGAAATCTTTCGATAAAATGCTAAAAAAAATAAACAAACAAAAACATGGATTCGCAATAAATTAATGCAAACAAAGAGCTATTGTTTGCCTTAAATCTAAGATTTGATCTGCGCTTACTTAGCAAACAATACTGTTACAGGTTAATCTCAGCTTAGTAGATATTGCAGATCGCATTTGTTATTAAGGAACGTCCCCCCTCTCGTTTCACTAATATCTTGGTGCTTTCGTTGGAGGAAGACGCGTCCCTTAGCAAATTAGGAGCATTTCCGCTTTCACACTCGATTCAGTTAAGACAAATGGAGGTCATAAAATGGAACTACTCTATCGGTTCATCCATATACCAGTAGATAGAGGTCCACCCACACCGCCCGTGAGATCCGCTGCCGTACCAGAAGCTGTCTTTTAATCCTTCCCAACTCAACCTGTGGGAGGTGGTGGGTGGGGTGGCTACTCGGGTTTTTGTCCTCTTTTGTTCCCCACCCAACGACAGTAGGACGTTCACCCTCTGCATTGTAAAACCGGTTAGAAAATTGAATGCCTACCCTTCGAGCCGATTAGGACAGTGGTCTAGCCCATTTGCCTCCAAAGGAGTCCATTTCTTACTGACGTAACGTCACGTGGTGAGCACGCGCGTTCAGTTTTTTCGACCGGTTTTCCGGTGAGTGGAAAAGGGGCGAGGCAAAACTTCCCATCTTTACCCCGTTGTGTCCAGTAAGTTTTTAACTCGAGCCTTGAATGCATTCGTTGTGTCGCTCGTTGCACAATCCCGTTCGTTGTTCGACGTCCGTACCAAAAGGTATGTGTATTATAGTTGACCATACAACCCTCCCCTTGTCTCTTATGGCCATTACTCACGCGCCTCCTTAAAATCGTCACCATAGCAACGTTTACGTAACCTTGAACCGATTTTGTTGACAGCGTGTGTATGCACCACTCGAGGTATAGATCGTGGTCAGTTGGTATCGATTTTAAGTGCATTTTCTCAGTTCTCTTATGCCAAATTCTTATGGAAATTGTTACGTTTTCTAAGTTACTCTTCGCAGATGTTGAGGTGAAAAGGCGTTGACAAACGTAAAAACGTTGATGACAAGACGGTCCCGTTGAAGATAACTACGTCAGATTGATAAGATGATAACTATAACCGAAAGCAAGGAGAGTGTATGAAATCAATCCTCCCGTTCTTCACGACCCCCTGTTGGTGGTTTATTAGTTCTTGTCAATTTTCGGCCCATATCTAAGTCTGTTACTAAAAAGTCTATTTTTGCATTAATGGGCATAAAATGCCCTTTAATACGTCTAGTCTAACGTCAATAAGTAGCTTGGTTCCCACTTCAAATGAGCCTCCCCTACTTTACACGACGATGAAATTAGTTTTAAAGCATTCGGATCGGGTTTCTCATTATTTTGTTTATAATTTTACTTAATCACGAATTAGAAATTTATAAAAGTTTCTATTTTTGATCCCTTAATCTGTAAAATGGATCCGCATATGCGAACCAGTTTTAACGCTTGTTTACTACGGGCTAAAGTCGCATTGTTTATAGTTAGTTCCTTCGTCTTTAAATCAAATTATAACATATGTAAAATGGAAATTATGAGTAGATATTAAATAGAATAAGAAATATTTAATATATATGTCTAAATATCTAAGCATTCCTCCTATAAATGGATGCAATTTCTAGTTTATCCTGTTGATCTTTGACTAGATAGCATCTGGAGAACCCACTTTATAGGAGGATCTTCGTGTTTATTGCATTGAGCGAATTATAAATGTGATAAGGCTCTGAAAGGTTGCATATTTTGCACACATCTAAGTAACATAACTTTAATCGTAACGGTGCAATGTTACGATATAACTTTAACATTCATTCATTAGGTTAGGCTCTTGCGTTCTGTATGTTTTAAATTCTGTTTAATGCATGTTTAAAGAGAATTTAATGAAATTATAACTTTAAATTATATATTTCTAATTCTTATAGCTTATTGTATTCCCTTATATACGCTCTATTGTATTTATACAGTAGAGATATGGAAGGATATGTAACTACATATCTATGCACTAAGTTAACATTATAAACATGTTGCTAGCTTTGTTTGAAGTTAGTATACTTTATATCTTGCATATAAACTAATATATACAGTATAAAGTATATAATACTGTCCTTATAAAGAGAATAGCAACGAATGAGGGTAGAGTAAAGCGTTAATGTAGCGTAGATATTTCTGTAACTGTTATATTCAATGGAAGAGAGTGTAGTTCTTTCATTTTGGCATAAGCCAATGAGTTGAACTACGTTTTCACTAACCTTACTTGAAAATGTTGGCAAACGTCACATCACTGGTAAAATTGTACACTCTTTCTTTCTCTTCCGTACCCCCTGCTGACATTACTTTGCGTGAAATTCTTCAGATTATCACTTTAACCTTGAAGCTGCACATAATCTAGGATTATAAATGACACCATTTTTCTATTTTTTAAAATTATTTCTATAGAATCACTTTCTAAAAAACTCCTGATCGTCGAATTGTAACCTAATTTATAGCAGTAGATGGGATTTTAATACACCCAATTAAGCAATATACAAGTTAGTTTCTAGTATCAAAAAATTCTTCACTCGTCCAAAATATTAACTTCGGGACACTTCCCCCCTCCGTGTTAGAGTAATATAAAATAACATTAACCAATCAAAATCGGGTAAAGAAAGGTTAACATCGCTTCAGATTAGGAAGGGGGTGGAAGAAAATGCGTTCGCTGTGTTGCAAAATGGAAACTGGAGGCCTCATCTCTATCAAACTGACTTTATCTGTAGATGGAATATTTTAATACGCTGACAGGACATCTTGCTTGCCATAAATCACGAGTCGATCGGAAGAGAACGAGAGAAAAAAATCACACCCTCCCTCTCTCTCACTCTCTCTCTCTCTCTCTCCACTCTAGACTTATGACACCGGATACTCCCTAATCTAGCTGAGGAGTGTTTATGGAAAACTTGGACGTGTGCCAATGCAAATACCTAACTCCACTTCTTGATTGCATCGTTTTGCCGCTAGTTATTTCCATTCCATCTTTCGTTAACCCCTAATCGACGAGATTCAATCCATCATAACGCTTATCACCCAAGAAAAGATTAAGAAGTAGCCATTTCGTCAGCTCTTATAATGAAGCCGGAGAGGGGGAGAAACCAAAGGAGAAAAAACACACACACAAACATCAAAACCTGAGCCAAATTCCAGATTTTAATCATTAAAATTCGAGAATAACGAAACAGTTTAGGGGTGTTCATTAAGATTTTAGATTCTAGAAGACGAGTCGCTCTCTGTAACAGATTGTTATCTGTGAGTATATTTTTAACACGACTCATTCATAGCTAACAGAAACTCCCTCCCCCGAGATACCCATTACAGGGTATCTCGGGGAGGGTTTCTGTATTAAAATTCGACAAAAATTGGGGTGTCCTGAGAGCGATTCGGCTACGTATACACGTGTAAACACACTCACTACTGTCTACTGTTAGCGCTCTTAGTGGAGTGATACCATACTAACACAGGACAGACTCATTAGTTCTGCCCCGATTGGTACGGTCCAGTGCCAAACTGGCATGCCATCAGATGGTTCTGTGGGAGGATAGAGGAATAGAAATGACTATAAAAAACCGGAAGTTGTTCACTCTGGTTTTTAAGTACTAATCAAGCGAAGAAACTGAGTGAAGTCTTCTTTCATTCGCACCCCCCTCTTTAAGTAATTAAACAGAAAAAAAATGTGCTTAATTTAGATTAATTAAACTGATTCTTATCACGTTAACTATCTAAATATAAGGGGGGGTGAAGTTTTCTTAGATAAAAATCGACTCGCATGGGGGGTGCTGTTAATATATTCGTTCAAACAACCCATTACTTCACTATCACTCCTATCATTCTTAGATTTACTAGGTGGGGGGATTATTAGAAGTGTATATCTAAGATTTGACAGTCAGCAGCACATGTTCGTCATCTCGTCCCACGTTCCACATTAAACGGTGAGATGTTTGAACTTGCTGACAACAATCGTTAAAAATTGACTCTTCTTGTAACAACTTTCCAATCCCCCCTCCTTAAAAAAACAATTGCATAATATTGCTTTAAAATTCTATAAATATCTATTGCTTTATATCTATTTTTATTTATAGAGGAGGGTTCTCATGTAGGTTTCTTTAAAGAGGGTGGATTTTAATTATAGTACCGTATAACCCCCCTGGCCATCCCTTATTAGGATGTATGCTTCTATATAATTTTAGTGCATTTCGAATCATGTTCTTCATGAAGTATGTCATAGATACGACCTGTATAAACCGTGTTCTGTATTCTGTTATCGTTCTTTCGTTCTTTTTATTTTATTTATTTCATTTTTTTTCATGTCACGTGTCACGAATCCCAATGAGACTTTCAAGAATATACATTGTGAATTTGACCGAAAAATAGTTCAAAGAATTGTTCTCTTAAGCTTAAAACATAAATTATGAATTAAATTTGTTATAATTTACTTAAACTTCTAATTAAAATGTGTATAAATGTTTAAATTATATATGTAAAAATCCGTTTTTACTCACTTTTCCCGTAGAGTTTGACTTGAAAAAATTAATTTAGGGTTGTTATATGTGGTTATAACTTATTTTTAGGGGATTCAAATGTTAGAAAATCGAATTTTTAAACTATGTTGAGCAAGTTAAACGTAGAATTTTATTGTAATCAACATAGATGTGACCGTTATATAACGATATTTTGATCTCATACTAGTGAATAAATGAAAAATTAGACATTTCATGAAATTTTCTAACTAATTTTCTAATATTTCTACAATAATTTTGTTTTTAAACTAGATAAAGTTCAGGAAAAATACGATTAATATAAACAAACAAACATACTTTTCATGGTAGAAGTTGAAGAAATCGCAGTTTCGGAAGACATTTTAAAGATAAAAAATACAATGTAAGAGATTTTTATAAGGAAAATTAATTTTATTACATAAAAGTCTAGTTTTATTTTAAAAATAATAGTAATAAAGTTATAAATAAATGTTATAAAAACGCTTAAAATAGATGAAGGTAATCATGTATACGCTACAGGATAAATTTACTGTAGCATGTAAAATTGGTAAATATTGCTTAAAATTTATTAAAATTCTTATAAATTCGATTATTAAACATTTAAGAAAACATTTAATTTATCTTTATAAACTGTATTTATAACCATAAAAGCGTTAACAATTTATAAGATCTGATTGAAAGTTACCATAGGCTAGCCTACGTTGTAGTTAGAAAGCTATTCAAAAAACGATGAATTATATATTAAATTAAAAAATATTTTTATTTAAAATAATTAATATTTATTTATTTAAGCTTTAAAAATATTTATAAACACAATTTAATAACTTTTAAATCCATTTAACAGGTTTTAAAATGTATCTTACAGAATCCACCCTAGGAAGTTTTATAGTTATGAGTACTGTTGAAATTTTACCATAAAATTTAACATTTTTTATGATAAATTTATGCTAAAATAAAGTATAAATTCTTAAGAATATAAAATAATACGATTTTTAATGATTTTAATGGATAAAAGTATTTTAAAAACGAATATTTTGATTATAAACATTCATATGTCTTGTAGATGTCTGTTGATGACATTTTTACCATAAAATATTAAATTTTATGGAAATTTATGCTAAAAAAATTGAAAATAGAGATTCTTAGGATTGTAAAATAATAATATTTTTAATGAATTAATGGTTAAGAATATTTTAAAAATGGATATTTCGATCGTAAAGATTCATATGTCTTATGGATGTCTGAAAATGCAAATAACAATTAGGTGACAATGTGCATCCAAAAATACCATTAATTTTCTTTTTCTGGGCTATATGCCAGTTTAAATGACTTTGTTAAGAAAATTGCTGCACTTTAGTATTTACGAAAAAAGAAAAAAAAAGAAAAAAAACTTTTTCAAAATATATGCTGCGTAATCGTTCTTTTGTAAGCTTAAGAATATACCCCATTGTAGGAGGTTTTATTTTTATTTCTGGAACCTTTTTTTTTCTTTTCTATTTTATAAAATTTCGAGTAACTTTCAAAGTTCAAATTTCCAATGTTTCTACAGAAAATTTTCTTAGAAATTTATATCAATTCGCATTTTTTACTTTCGTATAATCACTTTTTTTTTAACAGTATCATATAGCGCTTAAGCTTAAGTAAGCTGCACATTTAGGGCCTCGATTTATGAGTCTGTAATTTAGGGCCTTACGTTTTCAAGCTTGTCATCATTATGTGGAGAAGAAGGGCCTGCTATATGTTGTATATTAGTGCCACAAGTGTAGGTCTAGTCCCGTCTATAGATGATTACTACGGGAAATTTCTTCATGGGTTGATTAAAATTGAATAGTTTTGATGTTTACAAGAGAAAACAAATTTCAAAATCTATGCGTTTCTGCATGAAATTAGCTTAAAAAATAAAGATAAATTTGATTGTCTTAACGTTTAGTTTTGCCACGAAATCAATCAACATAAGTTAATGGATTTTATGGCCAAAATTTACAGGATTTCATGGTAAATTCACTCGCTAAGAGAGGAATAAATTCTAATTTTTTAATATTTATATTATACTTTCAAAGGACAAAAAATCTGCTGGAATTTATAATTTAATGTCTTCTTTTTCCCATGAAAAATATTAAATTTCTTTACGAGAAAATAGAGATAAAGCCGGATTTCTTAACGTTTATGATAACTTTTAACGCATTTCGATGGATCTTTTCGAAAATTTATGCATTTTTATAGTAAATTTTCTTAAAATAAAGGATCAAAATCTTATTTTTGATGTTTATAACACATTTTTATGGGATAAAAAAATTATAGATTAAATATTTGTCATATTTTTCTCAAAAAATGATGCCGTTCCTACGTTCTCTCTTATCATGCCACATCATGTTTTATGGTAAATTTCCATGAAGGTCAACTAGCAAATAAGATTTAGTGACAGTTATAATACCCTTTTATAGGATCAAAATTTTTTTATACCTTCTAAAACGTTTCTAAACAATGCTCTGTTGTCTTTGGGTCTTGTAACGTGACCGTGAAATTAATGAAAGGCGTGAGAACGACCTTTGACCATTACGTCTTTATGCTGGCTGCGCGTCCAAACATCTGTTGACATCACTCGAATCTTTTTCTACACCGAATAATAAAAAAAAAAGAAAATTGAGATATAATTATGACGGTGGGAAGTGTTAGATGTAAGATGAGTAGGAATGATGGTCTGTGGTCTTCGGGCGTATAACGATTCACTTTGCTCACTTCCTACATAAAATTTGAATAAAATTGTAACCTAAATTACAATTTAGACTCCCTTTTTTTAAGTAGAAAATAAAAGAAGTAGTTTCTTAATGAGCGTTTCTACAATAAAGCAATGGTTAGATTGACAGTAGTCAACCATTAGTTGGGTATGTCGCTCTTAATGAGCTTCAAGACAGGAATAGTTCTTAGCGCGTGTGTGCTTTCAAGAAGACGATGGACAGGTATAATGTCACTGCAATTCACTGTCACACGCTTATCGTTGTTTGCTGCTAAAACGCCCTTCAAAACTGTTCTTCTCGGATACCAAATTTACTCGTAGTATGTGTGAAAGAATGCGCATTGCAAACAATAAAATCTTTATTTTAAAATATCTTAATTCGCGAATCCGCAAAGGTATAACGTTTATCTGTAATATTGCTGAAGTACTTTCTTGTTTGTTCTAACAGTCAGGATAGTCCGAGCCCCGATCTGTCGCAAGGAGAAGAGAGTGGTCAATCATCTCCACCCTCCTTGTCCGAAGGGTCTCCAGACCTCACGCCTACCCTCGCTACAAATGGTAATGTCCTGACTGAAAAATATACCCTATTTTTCTTAAATTTAATGGTTTTAAATTGTTGTTTTTTTTTTTCGTGTATTTAGGTGGCCTAGGGTCTATGGCAAGCACCAATAACTCCCCATCTTATAGCGGACCATCTTCATGGGGTATGTGTACAGCTTCCCCAAGTAAGTAATTCTAGTGTTATTAAGTGGAAGAAATTCATTAAAATGGTGCCAAAAATTCCGAATTTTATTAACAGTTAAAGGAACCGGCAGTTCAGATATTGATCAGATAAACAACTTTTATTCCAATTCCGAAGTCCTGCCGACATTCGCAGGTAAATCTTTATCTTATTTTTTTCTTTTTAACCTTTGTTAAAGTTTAAAAAATAAAAAAAAAAATAGCTGAAAGGAGAGATAAATCAGACAAGTTTCTGGAGCCGATTTTGCATCTTTCTACGGACTTACTGTCCTTAAGAACAGGAACTGTTGTGGGGGTGAGCAGAGGGCGTTGTTCGCGTAGTGTACCCCCTGACGGCCGATTGATGAAGTAGAAGCAGGGTCGGGGACCACCCCTTTTGTTTCACTCATTTATCGTTATTGACGGGTTGTTTGGTGGGACTTTCAGCTCACGACAGGAAATACCCCTCGTCAATGTCATCCATAAAACCAGAAATATGATTTTTTACTTTGATAATGGAAGGCATTTTGTTGTGCAGCCGTGTGCCATTAATATCCAGCTTACGATCTTAAGTATGCCTCCTTAATATTTTAAGTGTAGAGCAACAATTTTAAACTTCCTGCTTTTGACGAGAATAAGGGGATTTTTAAGTCGACGAGTGATAAAAATTTGTTCGGAAATTATGCTCTTGAAAGTAAAAACATTCTTTATAAGGCCTTTTCGATAATTAAATTATCTCGAATATTTCAGAATATTTGAAAAAAATATAGATATTTAGGGTAATAGAGTCATAAAAACTAAGGCATTTATAATAATGTAACCTAAAATTTAAGGTAATTAGAATGCAATATTTCTAAATTTAAGTGCAATATCCTTAATTTACAATGCAATACACCTAAAAATGAAGTATTTCTAACGACACAATTTGAAAGTAACGACATTTAAAATGATACAGACTAAAAAAAAAACAAAATGAAAGCATTTACAATGGTGTAGTGTATGTAAATTAATATTATTTACAAATTCATCGAGCGTGAAAGGTCGAGAGATTCTTTATCCTAATTTCTGTGACAACGAAAGTATTGATAAGTCTTATACATTTTTCAAAAGTCGATTGCAAACTAATTTATATTTTCATTTGTAAAAGGTGCTAGAAAACACTTCAAGAAAAATCATTTCTAATTTTAGTCGAGCGGTTTATAAATTATATATAATTATTTAAAAAGAAAAGAAGAAGAAAAATTTTTGATTTATTATTATTATATATACTGTAATTAGAGCCTGGGATATGAGATAAGGCTCGTAACACACAAATGTGAAGCCTCATCTTTCTTGGAAACCATGAAAAGCTTCTTTTTACGTATAAAGATTAAATTTTGGGGCCTTCTCCGTAAAAGAGGTCCGAACAAAATGGCTTTTCTGACGGTTCTTTTCTAGTTGGAGCTGTATATAAATACATTTGAACTTCCAATAACGGCGGCCACCTCTAAACAGCGGCCGTTTTCTCAAGAACGTGTCTTTTTTAAACATAAATGAGTACAAAATAACTTCAAACAAAGGCCACCTCCGAACAACAGCCCTTTTATGTTCCTGCCAGTGATTGTTGTTCAGAGGTTGGCCCTATTATTTATAATTAATTTCCATTCGTATGATTATATATAAATGCGTTCAGTTTCCATTAAGGAAGAGGATGATAATGATGTTGTATCTTTATAGTGTATTTTTGATACCAAATTTCAGCAACAATACACGAAACTTGTGTTATTTAAGAGAAAGCAAACATGTAAAATGTTTGCCAAACGTTTAAACTGACCCAAAATTAATGAATTATGAGCCAAAACGTGGAACACTTTCATTGTTTTCTGAACTCTCTCTTTGATGCCCCCTACGCATTCTTCCTGCCAAAAGTTTATAAAATATCATGCAAACAAAAGCAACTATATTATAATACGTAGGTTTAAACTATAATTTACTTGTAAACCTGTTTTGTAGGCCCCAATTTTTATATATTACTAAAGTTTTCATGCTGTAAATCATCACTTCTCGTGGCATTTTGGTGTTATCTGTTAACTATTTTATATAAGCATAACAGATGATTAATTAAGAATTTTCGGTTGAAATTTGGGCTTAATTTATAAATAAAACCCAAGAAACCCTAAAAATTAATCGAAATGCTAATTATTTAATATTTTAAAATGATTTTTCCGCCCTTCTTTGTAGGTGAACTGACTGCAGCCAAAGCTGCTGTTTTGGATTATCAAAATACATCCCCATACACAGCTTACTATAACAGGTGAGTTTATGAACGTTTAATGTTAATTTTTATAGATTTAATGTTAAATAAAGGCCAATTAATGAGTTCTAAAGCTTTATAAAATTAAGTTAATTTTACAAAGTAAGTTTAATTATGATTTAAAGTCATGTTTATATAGTCAGGGCTAAATTTATGAATAAGCTTAAGAAACTGCAGTTTAGGGCCTCATTGTATGACGCTATAAACTAGAGCATCATGTTTTTAAACTTATTATTACTTAATAGAGGTAAAGGGATAGGTTTAGGGCCTCGTAGTATGATGCTACGAACTAAGGTCTCGTGATTTTTAGACTTATTACTACTAAATAGAGGAGAAGGAAGAAGTTTAGGGCCTCATTGTATATGGTTACTTGTCTTTAGACTTGATACTTAATAAAGAGGAAGGGCCTCTTATATATAACAACTTAAGGCTGCAAGAGTTTAAATCTAGTCTGGATATAGTGACTCATTCTACATGATTAACGCTATACATCCGCATCATAGGGATGATTTAAATATCTTTCTAACTACAATATATAAAGATTAAAATTATTTTAAAAATATAAACCAATTAAATTACAATTTTCTATATTTTTTAAAACAATAAATTAACGATTTATATTAAGATTTTTAAGCAGAATTATATAGAATTCCTTCTGTTGTCTGTATGATAATTTGATATGTTTGTAACTCATCCTCGTTGTTTAAAGATCAAAAATTGGCCCTGTAGACCTTCTTCATGCTTATAAAATTACTCGAAAGGATATTTTAATATGTTCATATCTAATTTTACTTCTAGAAGTTGATTAAAAAAAAATATATTTTTAGTTAAAATTCGAGCGAATGAGCCGAGTAAAAATTAATTAAACTTGTTTTTTAATTAATTATAAATGATGATGACGATTAATTTATGTGATGAAAATATAATTAGAATAATTAAATATTATTTTTTAATTTATTTATTATTCGAAATTCGTTTTAAAATATTCGAAATTCAAGCGAAAAATCCTAAACAAACACATTATTTTTATTTATCTTTGATGCATCAAATAGATATTTTTCATGGAATTAAGGTGAAATTTTTTAAAAATAATAAAATTATGATTAATTTTACATAAAATGTCTTGAAATAAAAATAATTTTAAGCTCCAAGTTTTATAAATAAGTCTAAAATTAAGCCGTAGAATGGCATTAATTTTCCTAGAAATCGTAGCAGTAATTATTGATAAATAATTTATTTATTTATTACCTAAATAAAAATTTGATATTTTAAATAAATAGAATAGTTATTTTTAAAAATAAATTAAATAATTTCTCTAATTATTATCATTTGTTTCTAATTTAAAAAACCCCCGATGAAGGTCTACGCTCAGAGAAACCGTAACGAGGGTCGAAATTTATAACAAATAAAGCTAAAAATATAATAAATTTATATTTTACAAGATATAATACAATGTTTTAGGAAGATTCTATAACAAAAAATTTATAAAATTTGCTTTAAAATGAAGAAAATGAACGTTGTAGCGACATTGCTTACAGGAGTCGTACCTGTTACGCTGTTTATAATTTATTTATAACAAAATATAACATAGATTAAAATTCATTAATGCAATATCGGGTGTCTAATTTAATTTTAAAACGTTTAAAAAGAGTTATTTGTGACGACGACCATCTGCAGATGGACTAGAACCTCATATAAGAGGCCACACTGGCTGTTATCAATGGAGCGATTGTTGTCTTATGATCGAAAATTTCATCTCATTTCTTTTATAACTTACAAATTCTTTTTTTATGAATTCTTAGAAATGATAGATAGCTTTCATTCTTTGATACTTTGACACATCTATCCTTTAAAACAATGACATAATTTATAAAGTTATCCACAAGCTAACGTTATCTCCCCCTTCCTTCCTTTTTTTCTTCGTCTCTAACCATGCCACATACTTTTTTTATCTGCTTAATATATTTGTCGACTCGTAAAATTCGACTTTTAAAATGTGTCAAGTGATTAATAGTAACCAATTTTTAAATTTCGATGGTTCCATTCGCATCAGAAACTTCAATTTTCCCTAGGGGAGAGCGTACAAACATTAAAGATTTGTAGACGTTGTCAAACATACCAAACCCTTGTAACTTGACAAGCGCGTAACAGCTGCGAACGACAATTAAATATACCCTTTTCTAGTATATTAAAGATACCTTTAACACGCTGGAGAACAATAAGTGTATTTAATTTCTTTTCTTATAATGGATCCATCTATCAACTGGGACATTTTTCAATCTATGGCGTTTACCTTTACAGCCCTATGCAAGCTTATCCATTATTACCGACCCAATCACCTAGTTATTCTTTGTCGGCCACTTCGGGTTACTATGGCAACCAGACCAGTCAAGCGTCACATTACGGCATCCTTCCTCAAACGCATCCCATCCCAGGTAAGTGGAAATCAATTTAAAAATCATCCAGCGTGTTTACTGTTTAGTAATTGGCTTAGTCGCTCGTTTATTGTGGGCAGTAACCAATCGAAACGTTACTTATTCGATCTTAAATAGTTATATTTCATCACGCTTGAGTTATCGGTACATCCCTCTTTTATAAAATAATGCTTTTAGGGGGTTGTACTTATGCAGAAACACCAAATTATTTTAGCGAATGGCTGCAATTTGATACCACAGAAAAGTGATAAAATGAGTGAATATATCTCTATAAATTGCTAGAAAAATTACGTTTTATGTAAGAAATTATTAAAATAAATAAATTTTAATCACTCTTCTATTATTTATCACCATTAATTCGTATAAAAATTTACATAGTTTTCAGTTAAATCATCACTGTTTTTCTCCTCATTCTGCAATCTGAATAGTAAACTTATACAAAATCGTATTAATTAAACTTACATAATTCCTTAATTACATTTTTAAAACTATTAATAATTTATTTTATTCCAAAAATTAAGCAATAAAATTAAATAAATCCGAAGAAAATGTTATTTTAATTAACATTAAAGTAGAGATGATTAAACGAAATATTACAACGGTTAATCACTTAAAAAATTAAATAATAAACTTGAAAATAACGTAAATATTAAAATAATGTCGTAAATTTAAGCGTTTTGTATCAAATTTCTAAATTTAATAATAAATTTTTTTATAATTCATAAATTATATTTATAGTTTCTGATGTTTATCTACATTTTAATAGGCCTACACCCTATAAAATCTTCTAAAAACTGCTTAATTTTTTTAATCACTTTTCTGTAAAAATTAAATAAAATTTTCATTTTTTTTAAAGTTTAAATCATAAATATATTTTTTTAAATATTAAAACATTTAAAAGATAAAAATATTGTTAATATACACGGGAATTATCAATGAATGTTGTACTATTTCCATAGAGTGTACAGTACCTGAAATTCAAAAGAATATATTAATATATCGCTATTAAATTAAGATTTTATAAGTTAAATATTTAAATAATTAAATATATATTATTTAAATTAAAAATTAAGCAAACACATTGCAAGCTTTTTTTTTATATAAAGATGATCATAATGGCCATCGAAGTCAATTATGTTTATGTGAGAAATATGCAACATGCATGCTTAATTTATACTTTAAACTAAATATATTTAATTTATCATTATTAAAAATTATTTATATAAATGTTTAACTTATTAAATTATATAATTTTTTAGGATATATTTACATAAATCCGGATAAATTCAGATACACTCCATTGAAAGAGAGCATCACTTACATGATGATCATAAAGGATATTTATCGCTAAATTTAATTTTAAAAAAATCGAATTTAATTTAAAGTCGTTTATAAAATCTCCTAAATTCATATTTTTATTTAAAAAATAATAATAATAAAATTTTTAAACATCTTAACGACATTTTTTCTATTGAAAGATCCTAACAAAGAACAGACCATTTACTACTTCTTTAAACGTCAAAAATATAAATGAACTAAGTGAATTTCACTTAATTAGCAATTAAGAAACTCATACAGAAATTAGAATTCGTTAAAAAATGCAGAAAAAAAAGGTACAAATAATGCTTTAATTGTAATTGAAAATAGAGGGAAGGCGCTTAATTGTTTTCATTAGAGACGTAGTAAAAAGTTATCTCGATTAACACGATAAGTTATTTGCTACTGGAAGTTAATTAAAATTAAATACAATTAAAGAAACTTTCAACCAATTAGCTTAGATAGAAGATAAACTTATCTGTACTTGAAAAATCCTTCTACAATTATAGAGTAGGCCTATATAGTATAAGATAGCATTTATAGTAGCGCGAGGAGTGCATTAAAAGAAAATAAATTATCAATTCGTTTAGTTTCATTTCTTTATTTATTTTTTCAATTAGTTTCGAGATCGTTGTCCCCTCAGACCAAAGAGAATGGAAATAATTTAACACAAACATACCACAACCCTTATAGTTCTGCTTTTCCGACTGGAAATGGTCTCCAATCCGGACAATCCCATTATAGTTTCAGTGAGTTTCATTCATTTTTTATGTTACTTTACTGTAATTTTCTGTAAAATAATATAATTTACACGATTTAAATGAACTATACACTGATAATTACAATTAGGACGGTTATAATTATTTATTTTTCGTAGCCAATACGTATCCAGGAACAACATATGGAAGTAGTCCTTCTAACCCTCAGGCCTTCGCTTCGACACAGGTTTGTATATCAAACACAGCTTTAACCAGTCAGAAATTTGTAAATATCAATATTAAAACCTGGTTTATACACGCAGGGGTTCGATTATAATTCATACAGCACGTTCAGTCAAACGGGATATCCTTACTATGCGGCGCAAGGTTATAATACCTATTCGGTCAACAACACATCACCCGTTGGAGTTGTAGAAGCACCCCAAGTTGCTACCACATCCAGCTACCAATTGACGCAATTAAATGTTCCAATAAGTGATTCAGTAACAGGTAAGTGTTCTTGTACTAATGGTTTAGTACCATTGATGATACAAATCGTTCGATTCTGCAGATAGCCCGCATTATAACCAAGTGAGTACAAGCCCGTCTCCACCTCTGAAAATGGAAGTGACTAATGGATCTACAAAGAAAAGTAAATTATTGAATATTCACTCTTTTCTTTTAATAAAAAAAAAGCATTTTGTAGATAACAAAACGTGTTAAAATATGTATATAAATGTTGAATCAGGTAATCGCTGTGTTCGTGGAAGAGGCAGGAAACAAAATAATCCTTCTCCCGATCCCGAAAATAAATTAGAAAGGGTATTCATTTGGGATTTAGATGAAACTATTATCGTGTTTCATTCGCTCCTGACAGGAACATACGCTAACAGATACTGTAAGGTAAGTATTTAACAGATTAGCTCTTACAAAAATTCGATTCCCTTCTTCGTGCTTCATTCTTGGCATTCAAAAGATAAATTTTACTGCTTTTTAAGTTCCAGGAATTTTAGAAATAAATCAATGAATCAATTTAACTACACAATAAATTTTATGTATTAAAAAAAATCCCAATAGATGCATATTTTAAAGATGAACAATAATAAGATTTACACATTAACAGGATAAAAGTGATTCAAATTGTTACCACATCCGTTAATAATAATTATTCGAAATAACGGTTAATTTATTTAGTAACCGTTATTTTAAAATTCAAATTTAAAAAAAGAAAAAACGGTTTTTGAAATTTAAATTGTTGCGTAAAATGTAAGCGATTATTTAATTCGTTAATTTCTTCTGTTATTAAATGATAACGAATCTTTGTATTTAAATTTAAAAAAATGCTAAATAATAATAAAATTTAAAATTATAATTAATCTAGATTGAGTGATACTTTAAAGTATACGTAATATAATTTTTTTTTTAAATTAAATTCTGCTTATTAATTTAAAATATCTTTGCGGAACGGGGTGGTTTTTATGAAACAATTCTGACTAATTGTTCATGCTAACTACACAAAAGCTATATTATGATAACCGCGCAACCAAAGCAGATGACTAACAATAATTTTTTTGTATAGTGGTTGAGTGTAACTACTCTTTTTCCGTGGAGGAAAGCGATAAACAGTTTTTCAACTTTTCTACCCTCTCAACCCATTGACCACGTCATCGAGACAACAAACCGCAGATGCTTGCTAGGGTCGTCGATGTCAAGAGTATTTACTGGACTGAACCAGTAAACACGTTGAAACTAAAATGAAACATATCGTCCTATGCGGTACAAACTACAGGCAATTTTATTTTATTTTCACAAAGTAACACACACTGACGAATGCCACAGAGAAACCAAGAGAATCACGTGATTTCCAAAAACCCGGGATCATCAATCTCCAGCTTGAGTCTTCTGCTTTTTTCCCCCCTCTCGCTCTCTCTTTCTTTATTTACTTGTAAACTGTCCTCGTCGTGTTGGCTGACACTCACCCCACTTTACAGAGGTCAAGGGAGTGTGTCTGTCAATGCTAACCTTCAATGTTCTATAAAGTTGGCCATGTCGCGAAGTTTATTTCCGAATTGAAAGTCAAAACAAGAAACACTTTCGTGCTTAAATTAATGATAATGCCCGGCTCCAGATGGCGATACAGTTGTTAGGTTCAGGCAGGCAATACCAAAGCCGCATATCCGGCCGATTTCGATATGCCAAATTTACTATAAATGGTGGAAAAAATTGAAAATTACTACTTAATTATGTCATAATAAGTAAATATATTAAGTTAACTAATTAAAATAATTAAGGAATGTAATTATTTGATGAAAATAAATAAATACAGTTTTTTTACGGGTTCGAGTTCAAGAGCCCACGCAATGGCTGGCTCTCATTGCAATTAGAGTTTAATTAATTAAATAGAATAATTTTTAGTTTCTGTATTTATATATGATAATTTTATATAATTTTTTAAAAATAATTTTAAAATATAATAATTAAAACACTAGAATAATGCCGTAAGTATGCGTTATGGTGGTGTCGCCATCTGGTGATAGAAAAATTAATTTGCTAATACACACTTAAAATATAATCCTGATATCATGTATTTATTTTTAAAATATTAAATAAATAATTATATTTATAATCAATTAGAAATTTATAACAAGTTAATAAAACGAAAATAATTTAATTTTTTTTTATTCATTCGTTCAAATTTTATTTCGCAATAAAATTACATCTTAATGACACGTGTCTTAGGCAAGTGCCCACATTTTTGTTTATTTACTTATTTTAAAATATTCAACAATTATTCAATAATATTTTATAATTTTAACAGTAAATTTACCACGATTTATATGTAAATATTTTGATATTAATGTAAATTTTACAGCTTTTGTTGTAAGCTTATTCAATCATCCCCCTTGTTTTATTTTCAAAGAAAACTAAATGTAATAAAATTATGAGCTGAAAGTAATTTTAAATTTCACAAATTAATGAAATTTATAAAAAAAAAAATTCAAAAAATTAAACTAGAAAATATATATTAAGATCTTCGCGGAGTCGGACTTATATACAAACTGAATACGGGTCTCACGCTGTATTCATTGAGGCCCTAAGGTTACAGTAACCTTAGGGCCTTACTTTTAGCTTATAATTATACGGCTTCGATCGAGCTTTTAAATTTACCAGTTTTTACTGGAAAGGACTACGTATTATAATAACTTAGGGCCATACAGTGTACAGTAACTATAGGTTATTTAGCGTAAGCCCTCATGCAGTAGCTCACGATTTAAAGCCTCGACCTTTCGGTTTAGGGTTTAAATTCATTAATATTCAGTGGAAGAGAAGGTCTTTTATATGTACTAACTTACTCACATCATGCTTAAATCTGTACATGTATATATACATACATGTATACATACAGATATACATGTATTGTACAGTACATACTGCCACTTTTGTAACTATATACAGCGTAGGAAATTTATAAAATCCATCTGTAAATTTCGTAAACAACTTCATAAATAACTTAATTAATTAAGAATAAATTTTAGAATAATTTAAGTGCTTTTTAATAGTAAAATTCTCCATTTTTTCATTTTCTTTAATGCTTTTTTTCTTTTTCCTTCTACACTTTGATAAGTCAAAACCTCGATATAGCGCTCTCCTACTTAACGTTATTCGCAATGAATATTTTTAAACGGTTTCCCTGTCAATATTAATACAGTAATTAGAAAACCTTTCAGTATCTGTGAATTATTAAATATAAATTACCACCGAATTACGTGACTTTTAAACTCAAACATATGTGTAGAACTCGTCACTATAAATATAATTCTTATTGCTCGAGATGATTTAATTCATTGCAACATTCGATTTAATGCTAATAGCGGGTCAAAATAAACCACTGTACGAAATCGAATTTACTGCTATCGTTTAATTTAACGCCGAGAGATGGCGCCATCGTTTATCATATATTATAAACACACGTTTTAACATATTTAAATCTTAAATTATTTTTATAAAATAATAATAATTTAATTATTATTTTAATTAAGTTTAATTTTATTTTTAGGATGGTCCTACTTCTATGTCGCTTGGTTTACGAATGGAAGAAATGATATTTAATTTTGCTGACATTCATTTCTTTTTCAACGATTTAGAGGTGAATTTATTAAATATTATATGCAATAATAATTGAGCGAAAGGTCTGTGTGTCTGCGTTTATTTTTGTTGTTTATATTTATAAAAGTATACACGTCTATGTGGATATGTAAATTTATACTTGCATGAATTCGTGTGCAAGTGTTTATAGCCTACACGAACGTGCCTTTGCTCGTTGCTCAATGTGGAATATCATCAAATCAAAGTCGCCCACCAGTGGCCGAGTGGATAAAACCACTAAACACTGGTCGTGGGTTTAATCCTCACCAATGGGCTGGCCACATGGAGCTTTCCGGGTTTTCTTCAGGTTTGTAACAACTTAAATTGGGGTCAGTTTTCTATCGAGAGTCCTCCCGGGAGACATTCACGTGTTGCCTCGCCTTATTCCATCAATGAGTTCATCCAAACCAAAGCTCGTTCCTTATTAAGAACTAAATTAATTAAATTAATGAATTTCTGTAAAATTCTAAAAAATTAATTAATTAAATTGTGAAATTAAGATATATTTTACGAGTAAGATGAGCTAAGAGCAGCACAAATTGATCGTGTCTTTTTAAAAGTTTAAATATAAAGGGTGGCCCAAAACTCAGTTAACCTAAGTTAATGTCTTCAAAATAGTTTGATTTTTAAATCGCGTTTTCACAAGTAAGAATCATTGTTCGAGTATAAATACAAAACAAAACATTGGGCCTTTAAACTGATTTTTGGGTCACCCTGAATTTTCCTTCAAGTTAAACGGGTATATTAAAATAAACTTGTTCATATACCATCGAGGGTAAGGTTCAAACATTTCTGGTATGGTTAAAAGTTGACTGGTTTGCATTCATATGTCACTCGATGAAACTTTTGAATCATCAGAACAAGACGATTCAAGGAAACCATGCAATATTCTTTCCTATTCGTGATTATTTCCAGATTTCATGAAGGAAATTATTTCCAGCAAATTAATTTACGAGTAAATTTCCAGCAAAACTGTGTTTATAGACTTTATACACAGTTAAACCTCTGAACGACGGACATTTTTAATGTTAGTGATCATTGTTTGGAGGTTATTTCGTAGGAATTTTTGAAAATTTCTAAATAAACGACCGCTGTTTAGAGGTGGCCGTTGTTGGGAGGTTCGACCGTATTTGAAATATCGTTTAAACAATTTTAATAACGAAATTTTTCGAATAAATTAAATTAATTTTAATGAATCGTTACGCCTGTTCAAGAAGTACGAATTCCAATAAATGAACCCCATTAAACTTTGTTCGAATTTGAAAAGGGGGCGAAGAAAACTGATATTAATTGTTCGCTTCATTAAGTATATTGGTAGGAGGATGCGAACAATTTAAATATATTTATGTACCTGGAAGCGTATTAATTTGCTTGTATCGTCTTATTTATATTCGTGTCGACCACCGAATTATATGTTTGTACGTATTTGTGTCACTAAAACGCCCTCCTGTACGTGTAAAAGAAGAACAGGTGGAGTTTTAGTCACGTCAAGGTTAACTTTAACGTGGTTGAAGAGTGTTGGGTGATGAATGATATGTAAACATTGACTAGTTCGTTGCTATCTCGGATTTTCGAAACCTTTAAAAGGGGGTCTTTCACAATAAGACTTTTAAACACTCGTTCCGCAATAAACACTAAAAACTTCTTTATATCTTCTTGGTTAAGAGCTGGGTTTTGTATTAATCGATTCGATAAGAATTTATCTAAATTGTACTGTGAAAGTGGGCAAAGGTCGATAGGGCGGTTGGTTGAATGTCATTTTTAGGTATGTGCAGTCGAAATGTAATTAAAACCTATTTTAAAAATTGCTTGTATTATTCTAGGAATGCGATCAAGTTCACATTGATGATGTCTCTTCGGATGATAACGGACAAGACCTCAGGTGAGTTGATTCTTCCAGCGATTTAGGATCCAAAATTTATGTAAATTTTTTCTTCTGAACGTTATGAAATTTGTAATATTTTCATAGTAAACAATTCTGAAAAGTATTTTTCTTGTAAATATTATTAATTTTTCTATGTTATATGTTAATTTTTAACATTGTGAAATTGACAACTTGAGGCAATCTTTGCTTTTAAAGATGGTTTAAATCTCGTTTAGTAACTTAATAAAAAAAATCTTATATATTTTTTAAATTTTAACTTGAAATTTTAGCAATTATAATTTCCAAACTGACGGCTTTCATGCATCTGCCAATAATGCAAGTCTATGTTTAGCAACTGGCGTCAGAGGGGGAGTGGATTGGACAAGAAAACTTGCTTTTCGGTATCGTCGAATTAAAGACATTTATAATCAATACTGCAACAGCATCGGAGGTAAGATTTTAAATTCGAAATATTTTTAAGGCTGTGTGTCTGTACGTTTTTCATATAATTCGTTTCAACTCAGGTTTGTTGGGACCGAAACGGGAACAGTGGTTACAATTACGTTCAGAAATCGAAACGCTTACCGACAACTGGCAAACTCTAGCATTAAAATGTCTCTCCCTCATTCATTCCAGGTATAAATTTTGCTTGTAAAACTTAATTTTTATTTATAAAAATACCTAATTTATTTCTTACATTAGGTCAAATTGCGTCAATGTTTTGGTAACAACCACTCAGCTGGTTCCTGCACTAGCGAAGGTGTTGCTATACGGCATGGCTGGTGTGCTCCACGTTGAAAACGTCTACAGCGCCACTAAAATCGGTAATATTCTATCTCAGTTCTTCATTATCCATTTAAACAATTATCAAGAATAAATTTTAATATTTAAATTCAGGCAAAGAAAGTTGTTTCGAGAGGATAGTAACAAGATTCGGTAGAAAATGCACCTATGTGGTGATAGGCGATGGGAGAGACGAAGAACTGGCAGCTAAGCAAGTAAGTAAAAAAAAAAATTCACACTAGTTTTGGTAGAAAACTGGAAAGTATCGATAAAAAAACCCAAAGACCTTTAACCCTGCATTTAACGTCTCGGTGCTATATCGAATGGGCTTTCCATTTTTCGTGTATATTATGTGGTTTGCCAGAATACAAGAAAGATCGTGACCATTCTCGAATCAGTTGCAGCCCACCTTGACCCGATTCACAGGGATGGGAGGGAGAAGATCTGTTGCCCCAGTTTACTTATTCGTTCGCTTTCTTTGCTTTCTACCGAAGTGGATTAAGTATTATTTTATATCACGAACATTTTCCGTTTCTCTAACCCTTTGGCAGCATTCTTAAATACTAAACCAATTATTTTTTAATTACGTAATTGAATCAACTACTTGATGGTGTTTCCTCGAATTTTGGTATCAAAGAAACCAGTTGAAATCCGATCTTAAAACAACTTTTCGACAGATTCATCATGCCTTCCGCGTGCCAAGAAGTGTAAAGAAGATGCCGAGTTTAAGGGTCAAGGCCAATCCACCTGTCCTTGTCGTTTTACAATATTCTGTCCTGCACTTTCCCATAGCTGTCCTTGTAACATATAAAATACCTTACGACTCAGGGTCAACTATGACATCGTTTCGTAAATGCAAGCGAACAATATGCCGCTCCAATTAAACAGCGAATCTTAATAATTCATTTTATGCATAATACATCATCGCATTTTAGATTTAACTATTCCGATACGTTTTAAAAGAGTTGAATGTGACGTTGAACAAATTGATGACGTCGCGTGACTGTCCACCTCCATAGGAAAGTGACTCGATCACGCGAATAAAGAGAAACAAAAGACTAAAATGTTTCCTCCTATTTATTATTGCTTGATCTTCCGGGTGACGTACTTGACCCTGGCAAATAACCTTCATACATTCCAAGAGTGGACAGGATCATCTTACCGCGGTAATCACTTCCCAAGCATAAGAAAATTGGTGTAAATTTTCGAGTATTTTTTTTTTCATTTTTAATTTTTAAGATATATTTTTCTAATGTTTTAAATTTAAATTTCCAGATGAACTTTCCTTTTTGGCGAGTCAGCAGCCATTCGGATTTGGCTGCACTTCATCACGCTTTGGATTTGGGTCATCTCTGAGGCGAAAGAATCTCTTGCATATTAAGTCACTCCATTCCAGCTACTTGAACCCTGGCATCGAGGGAACCAAAAGCTATCCGGATTGTGTTTTAAGACTGTGGTGTGGAAAAACAGTCCTTTTTATCTTCTTTATCTTTATTTCTTTCGACACATCCGATAGACTTTGAGGGACTTTCAGGAAAATAAAAATAATAAATAAAATAAAAATTATACGTCTGGTCCCGTGGTGCCTTCAGTCGCCTCTACCAATCCGAAAACCATCATGTGAAATATATAAAAATAAAAATAAAAAACTGACTTCTTATTTTCGTAATGATGTATATGGATTAGATGAAAGTGAGATTCTTCCCCCTTTCGTCACGTAAAATGTTACAGAGTAACTTTTGAGAGTATTCTTCTCTGCAAATCTGGTGCCAACTCAAAGTAAATAAGTCCTGTTACGAGTTAATGATAATAAAAAATAAATATCATTCGTTTATTAAGTGCGGTATTAATATACATCCCTCCGCACTTCGAGATAAAAAGTATGGGTGCCACAAAAGATCCGTTGCAAAGTGCTTCTGTTTTGAACAAATAAACAGTTATTTCTCTGTTGTTCTCTAATGTTTATTTTAAAATATTACAATTTAATCAACTTATTTAGACAATATTCATGTTAATGTACAAACTCATATTGGACATCACGCGTGTCACAGGGCTCGAGCACCTTGACCTCAACTGCTTTAATGAAGTCATCAAGGTCGACCCGAGTTATCCAACAATTACCGTTTTGGATATCATTTCTGTTTGTTTACTAACTATAATTGAGGAAAATATCAAAATCATGCTGCTAATTCCGTTAAATTCTATTTTTTTCCTGTTTTACGGAATGTATCGTCCCATACAATGAATGGATAGAAGACCTTCAAATGGTCATGTCCAATCAAACATATAACCATCCTCCTCCTTCCTTCAAGGACTTTTCGATAGCAAATAATGAAGCAACGAACTCAAATTTATAATTATTGTCTGTATTTTTTTCATTTTATACACAAAGAGGGGATAACAGAACGTATACTTTAGTGTTTATTAACTCGATAACAGGGAAAGAGAAGCGACTCGATTATGAAATCGCGTATGCAAATTAGTAATAAAAAAACTGTTACAAGTGAAAATAGTCGCTATCGCAAGCAGGCCTACTTACAAATTATTTAGAAATTAACGGGGTGTTATAGTTGACTGCCTTGAACAGTCATCGGTATCGTTTCGAAACACTCATCCACGTAAGCTTACGTTCAAGACTAATTAGCTGACAGAGAAGACAACCTGTCGCCTAGCTACTTTCTAAGAAATCTCAGCTAGTTCAGGGTCAAGGGCAAAATGGCGCGTGCTTCTCCAGCCACCCACCAGTATTTGTCGAAACACATCTTCATTTTTTTCTTTTTTTAAATCGTACGATTTCGAAGAGTTCGTCAACCAGAGAAAGACGTCTTTGTCACCCGGGCGTAGTGCACGTGCAGATGGTCTTACCCACCCTGACTGGTTGCTGACCCGGGGTGGTTCTGTGAAACAAGCGATGGCTTTGTCTAGATTGACTGAAGGTGGACCTTTTGTTACGTCAGATATTATTTTAATGAGGTTAATGTGAAATATGCTGAAAACGTATTAAGAGGAGAACAATCCCTCCTTCATTGTTTGGACGATTTTTATGAAGAAATTTATAATTTCGATGAAATGTTTCTTCGAATTGATTAGAATTTAATTGGCAAATGAATTTGTCCTTTATAAAAACAATGTAAATGACAATCTTTCGCTTCCAATCTGTTGACATTAAGGATTGATCGTTTGTAGAAACCAGCTTCTAGTATCTTAAAATATTTCTCGGAGGCGATGATATCATTAATGGGGATTGCCTTCACGTTCATTCAGAATTCTCAAGTACAAAAATTGCATTCAAAGTAATAAAAAATGTTAAATTATTCAGTATTAATTTTAAATTTTTATATAATTGTTTTTTTAGAAGAATGCCTTATTTAAATTAGAGGTATTTTTCCGAGAAGTATCCTACATCAAAGATGCTTGCTTCTAAGCATAAGAGCATACTCATAAAGTTCTATGGTTATATTTCTAGGCTGATGAATGCTTGTTTATAAGCAAAAAGGCAATGCTAATGGATTTGTAATATAGGATAATTGCTTAACGTTTTCCATTATAAGATGCTTGGTTATATGCAAATATGCATACTCGTAAGCATTCAAACACTCGGAAAGATAGAGATTAAAATTAAAATTACAGTAGTTTACTATTTAATACCGAGTTTTACATCAATTTAAATTATCCAAACGCTTTAATTTTCGAATTTATTAAGATTTCAATGACTTATGAATTTCCTTTACTCGTAAGCATCTTTGAGACAGGATACGTACTTGGGGAGGTTGCGAATAAAACTTCATTGAAGCAGGATGTGACTATTAAAAACTTCATTATTATAAGATTATAAAGTGCTCAACACCTTTCGTTCAAATTCGAAGAACGTCCTGAACACTCTGGGGGTGCTTCCTTTTGGAAGATTTCACACCCTTCTAGTATATAGATATATTCTCCTTGACATTCACCCAGTCGGTCAACTTTATGTTTGACCTCCAAGTGAAGCTAATTATTTAATACCCCATCAAGGTCACCATCTCCACTTTCTAATCTACTTTATTGAGAATGGGTTCGGCCTATTTTAACAAAAATAAACTCAGTAATCGTTATTTTAAGCTTTAGAATCGACTTGTAATGACTAAAAAATCTACTTTAAAGTGCTCTAACCTAAAGATTTATTCAGGATTTTTCAATGTCAGGGTCGTAACACGTGTTTCTTTTATTCGACACACAAGCTTAACTAACGGTAAGTGTAACCAGACTTCAGGAAAATTCCCTAACGGAGTGGAAAATGGGAAATTTCCTATATAAAAACATAAATTTGATATATAGCAATTGGGTATAAGTAGTTAATAATGAGGGGCAATTTAGTTTTTATCAAGAATTTTTTTAACTTAAAGGAAAAAAAATTGCTATTGTATTGTTGGCTGTTTATTTACTTATATTTCTTATTGTTTAGTTTAACAATCCAACAACGATTTACTGTTATATGTGTTTAATAAAAAAAGCAAAAGTCTACCATTATCTTCTATTGATGATGATAAGAAAATGATAGGGTCTGCAAAAATTGTTGATAATTTTACTTCAAGATAAATAATGTTGACTAAAATTTTATGAATTATATATATATATATACTGTATACATTTTATTTATTCAATTCTTTTTTCCTTGTGAATACTAAAGGACTTTTTGGCTCTCCAGTGACAAGTGGATAAAACATAAAACCACTGAACACTAATAGTTGGTCGTGGGTTCGCACCTCACGTTTTCTTCATCCTGTCACGTTCCTGGAGACATCCCGCTCGGTAAATCGCCCATCTGTCGCGTTGCCATATATCAACACCTTAAGAGCGTTTTTTTTTTTTTTTTTTTACCATGAACATCGTAGATTCGGCCAAGCCCACAATGAAGGACGGGTTCCGACATATTCAGGTTCCATAAAAATTTCTTGGTAGTTGATGGCATAGGTTCGAACCCAGTTATTCCAGAGAGGTAGACTGACGTCTTAACTGTCTCGACTTCTTATGTAAACAATAAACAAGGAAGATCTTTGTTGAAAAACATTACAAAATTTCATGATTTATAATATTTACATATACCCGTTATACTACGTTATTTGCTAAATAAACGTGCAGTTTTCTTTATAAATTTTGACAAGAAATAAATATTTATACATTCTTCTCAATAAACCAAGAAGTTTGTATAGAATTTCGGCCACCAGTGGCCGAATGGATAAAAATAAATAAATAATTAATTAATTATTTTTATCAAATTGAATAATTAATTGGTCACGGGTTCATACCTCGCCACGTGAAGTTTTCCTATTTTCTTCACGTGCCTAACACATACACAGAGTTTAATTTCGCGTAGAAAGTCCTCCTAAAAGGGCAACGCAATGAAAGGGAGATCTGCCAAGTGCACCCCTTGACAGATCTCCCTTACGTTTCCTTACCGTGTTACTTTAATAAAAAAGGAATTACATTTTGAATAGCCAGAAAGGGGATTTACATACTTCTAGTGATAAACATGAGATTCCTTCAATCTATTTGTATTTGTGTTGATGACGAAAGATCGATACGTTAACTGGAATCAGTACCATGTTTACTCGTATTCACGTGTTAGTGGGTTGTTGCACGCCTCCGCCAAGCTTACACAATGAGAAGTAAATAACAACACGCAAGAATTAATATAAATTTAAATATATTTCGGTCCTTTTCCTTATAATCTATTAAAATTTTTTTATTTTATTTTAAATCATGTAAAATATATTTTCCCTCTAAATTAAGTACCAATTGTTATCTACATGTGTGGGAATCCCTCGATGGTAATTAATAGTCTTTGAATAAGTTATAACATTAAATTCTATGAAAAAATCCTTAAAAGTATTTTGTTTTTACTTTAATTTTTAAGAAATTTCACTTAAAATTCTTAGATTTTTAACAATGATAAATATTTTATCAATAATTGATTTACTAATGCAACATAATTGGTAAACACTTTTCAGATTGTTTATTATGTCTTTAATTAATTTTCAAAAGACTTATGTTTAACTTTACCTTCATTAATAAATGGCAGAGTATATTAAAAGCATTTACGAGGATTTTAAATAAAATTATGAATTTTAACTGTTCAAAAATTGATTTTTTATCGCAAGTATTTGCTCATTCATAAATTATAATTATATTTTCATTGAAGTTCATCGCAATGAAGTAATCAATGATTAAATTCCTCGAAGGCTCACGCCATCGAGTAATTTACTTTGTGGTGTGGAAGTGATTTATATTTCAAGAAGTTGGATTCGGGTTCGATTTTCTCGGAAAAATCCTTTTTTGTGAGAAAGTTGAGGTATTCTTACAGGAAAATCTTTGAGAAATATTGCTAAAAACTTTTTTGGACATTAAACATGATCCTTTAAAAAATCCTAAAGGTAAAGACAGAATAGTTATTGATGGAATAAGGCAATACAATACTTGGGCGATCACTCCTTGGTAGATCATCGATAGGAGCTACTAACACTTAAATATGAGCCAGTTTCACGTGTCTTATGGTGCTCTTGATAGATCGCCTCACGAGAGGACAATAGGATACATCTTTACGTATCTAACTTCTAGTTAGATATTGTTTATTTCCAGTCACTACTTTAAAAATTGGGACATTTCTGTATCCAATCGGATTTTTTCTTCTTCATTTTTTTTTTGTGGAATCGATAATCAAATCATGCTTCTCGTTACAAGCTGTATTCATTCTATCGGAGATTTTTACCATTTCACACTATTACGTGACAGGTCACGATGATGTCATGCATGACATCACATAGCCACGTCATACAAACAAGTTTTTGACGTCATGTTATGACGTCCTTTAGTCATCCTTAACACCAGAGATGTATTTTACGTGAAGGCATCACGTGTCACGCGTAATTCGTTGGTTGAATGTCCCTGCAAAGCGTTAAATTCACAAAAGTTGTTG